ACCCCATCACCCCACCCCCACCTCTCTCTCTCTCTCTCTCTCTCGCTCGCTCTCTTTCCTTCTGTGTGCGTGTGGTTGTGTCTCACTCTCGTGGCCGCGGTGCCGTCGTCGTCACGTCCGCGGCGACTCAGCCCTGGGGCGAGGTCTGGGGCGAGATATCGGTGTCCCCGTCGCCCGAGGTCGGCTCGCCCTTCGTCTTCGTCTCCTTCTTCCACTTCATGCGCCGGTTCTGGAACCAGATCTTGATTTGGCGCTCGGTGAGGCAGAGCGCGTGCGCGATCTCGATGCGGCGTCGCCTGGTGAGGTAGCGATTGAAGTGGAACTCCTTCTCGAGCTCGAGGGTCTGGAATCGCGTGTACGTCTGACGGCCCCGTTTCCTCTCTGCAACAAGTAAACGCGAGCAAGGAATGCGGTTAATTAGCCATCCTCCTTGATTTTTCCAACTGGAATTTATCGGATTTTGTCATTTCGCTCGGCCTTTAGTTTCTCGGGCCAGCAGGTAGCTACGCCTGCGATAAATAGTACCGATAGCGGTCATCGAAAAACATGCAAACCCTATTGATAAGAGAGCAAGAAAACTTGGATGACTTTTCGCCTATATTAACGTCGTCCTCGCTCTTTTTACTCTATTCGAGAATAAATGGCCGGACTAATGCACTTGTGCGACACATAAAAAGACGACCGAGACATTTATATCTAGCCGATAGCGAAATTTTACGGGTAATTTATTTGAGATAAATAGGTAAAACGAGAAAAATAAGAGAAAAGGGAAAGATGTTGTGAATTACGAGATTAATAATGGAAACGCGAGATTTTACCTATTTTATCCCTCAATGTATTGGGAGGATCCTTTGAATATTTGTATATTATGGTGGGATAAAAATAATAAAAAATGTTGGCTGTGTATGGGGAATGGGCGACAGAGTGTACGCGTTAATTGTCGAAAATTGCGTAAAATCGATGTTTTTCACAGGGCGCAGGGTACATTCACAATACCTGTGCAACGTATTGTCACTGATAATGTACGAGCTCGTGTTAAATAATTGTAATGAATTTTATGAGAATATTGATTGAGCAGGGAGCAGGGAGCATTATCAGCCACGATTGGATATAATAATTTATCATTGTAAATTGTTTTTCCTTGCATTTTTCTATTGTTTTGTTTGCCCTCGAAATATCGGTCGATATAACTCAATTAAATACATTAAGTAACTATATAAATTACGAATGTCAAACGCGGTATGAAATGCTTTTGTATTACACGGATATAATTGTAATTAATATTTGCATTAGATTAATAATGATTAATAAGCCAATAGTGATTTAATTAATTCTTATTCAATAAGGTACTTATAAAATGCCATAATTTACAGTGCAATAAATTTAAAGTGGATGTATTTTTTTTCAGCTCGTAAATTTATATGAATCGTTTGAAAAATACTTTGGCGCAATAGAGTCGGCTAGATTTCGAAATATTGAGAATTTATGTCTTTTTTTTCTTTTTCTTTTCTTTACTTTTTTTTTTTTTTTGTCTCAAAGTCTATAATTTACCCTTTTACAATTAAATTTGAATTGTCAAAGAGTCGAGCAAGCGTGCATCTACCGTCCCTTCGATTATTATCATTAATTTTTTCCCGACTAATGTTATTAATTAACGCCCAATGAATTCACGGACTAATGGCAAAATTTACGCGTCAAGAGAACGCGTTACGCACACAATGATGAAAATAAGATATGAACGACAATTTATATAGAATTTTTGACACTCCGACTTTTATTAGGCTACGTATAATAATAGCCGTAGTCAATGGTATGTAAGTAAAGTTATTGGTCGAGTCTAAATGCGTAAGATACTTGCAATAACTCTAACATGGCACTCGTAAGCGATTAATCAGTCGACGTGCAAAGCAAACACAGGTTATTCAATTTGCATGTCATTTCAATCAAAGGTTCATAATTGAGAATTATTCATCGAGCTAAAACAAAAATAACTCTTGCAAGTGCATAAATCACTATAGCACTTTAAGAGGGTACAGTTTAGTCACCTACTTTAGGATATTTGAATATGAATAATGTCTCTCTTCTGTCCTTCTCATTCATGTTCACCAGCAGAATTTATGGAAAATTATTATAATTTTCGCTTAATTAGAAGTAAGTAAATAATATTGCTCTTACTTATAATATTATGATACGTGTCACGTGTATGTACCGACATAATTAGCATTGAAATTTATTAGAACAAACATCATTAACATTAGAATTAAACACGATTAACTGTAAGAGCTGTGATACGAATAAAGGTAAAAGTATTAATTTTTCACTGTCTTGAGCAAATAATCTTTGTTTATATATTATATATTGACATATAATAAGCTTTTAAAATTTGCCGATCCTACTCGATTTTATTAATTTACTAATGAAAATGATCGCATTTGTAAAATATTCGGTAAATTAGAAGCGCTCATTTTCGATATTAAAATCCTTATCGTAAAACCTTATATAAAACTTTATATAATAATTGACTAATCTCTACTCGTTATATCCTCTAATAAGTTTTATCTCGAACCATTCACATTATTTACCATCTACATCTCTATTTTCCTTATTTATTGAACGACTTGTTGACTCATACAAGCAGGCTTTGCGTAATATCGCAAAAATAGTATTGGAGAAAAAATTTTGAAAATTTTTATGATTATTATTTTCCTATTTACCAGAAAAGTGTGATTAATTCCTGCACCGTCGCGCGCCAATTCCTCACATTCTCCTTCAACTTATAACGGATGCTGAGCAATAATAATCGTGTAGAATTATCGATTTTCAATGCACCGAATCGAATGAACCACGCAGTTATAATAAACAAAAATTTCTCAAAAAAATAACAAAAAAAAAATAATAATAAAAAAAATAAATAATAATAATAATAATGATAAAATAACCACAATGAGAACGCGTTGCGTAATTGATGAAAACGGAAGAATACCCGACAAATGCTCAATCGTCCATTCTTTGGAAAGTTCAGGAGATGAAGATCGTGGGATTTCAGAAAGTGCTGGTCTGTCGCTGCCAAGGAAGAAGAGCGTAATCCTCCATGGTA